GAGATATGAGAGAGATGGATTATTGCTGATACACCATTGATTATTGGACGGAGTGATTCCCAGACGGTCCGTTTACGAAACTCTGGAGTCGGAATGCTGAAGCTAACATCAATCAGTTAAGTGATAAAATTTTTACTTGAACTCTCTCTATTTTTCCCTGTCTGTCTGTGTGTCTATGCATCTCTTTTTCGCTTTCTCTCTATATATATATAGAGAGAGAGAGTGAGAGAGATACAGAAAGAGAAAGAGAGACAGATACAGAATATATCCAAAATTAATTTTACAAATTTTAGAGCGTCTTCCTATCACCAAAACGAGAACAAATGTGCATATAATCATCTGTCCTCAAATCCTTCATTTTTGTGTTATTAAGTTTTAAAGTTTAAAGATATATATATATATATATATATATATATATATATATATATATATATATATATTTGCCATTTAGACGAAGTTACATTTGTCAATCATATACATTTGTGGCTCGTCTGTGTTCAACGTTTAACGTGTGTAGTAGTGAGTTAACTGAGAAATATTCCGTTTAACAACAGCAGAATATTCATATCGTGAACAGGCAGAAATGCTTTTTATATGCGGTCGAGCGAATAGTAATGGACACGAGGCTGCAACGGCAGTAGCAGATTGCTGAGTCATCCAACCTTTGTTGCTGTTTATCATCGCATTATTGAGACAGGATCCGTGCCACCACAGTGTCTGTAAACTTTAAACGTAATAACTCGAAAAGAAAAGATTTGTGGACATATGTTTTTACGGACATGGCACCGCGATGAGGTGTAATGGTTAGCAAGCTTATCTCGCTAAAACACTTGCGACATAGTCGTGAATTCGATCCTCACTGGGTGCCCTATACTCTCAGCCTTTTGTCACATCTGAGCTACGCTTGGAAAATCACAATGTCTATATGGACATTTGTTTTGGTGTGAGGAACACGCCCCAAAAGTTTATAAAAGTATTTTCATACACTCTGTATGTGTGTGTGCGCGCGTGTGTGTGTGTAAATATAATTCGTTAATTAAAAAAATCGAAAAGACCAAATAAAAATAGTAATAATAATCAGTACTAGCCCAAGACCTGTCTTAATTAATTAATATAATATATTTTATATATCCTTTTATATAATTAATTAATTTAATTAATTGTTATTAATTTTATTATAAGCAATGTTATGCAAATTAATACATTTGAAACTGACAACTTTTACAGTTCACTGAAGCAGACGTTAAACTCTTAAGTCACACTAACTTTTCATTCATTCTTTCTTTCTTTCTTTCTTTCTTTCTTCTACCCTCTTCCCATTCCTTTCCCTAGTTACCGTCTTTCTTTCTTTCTTTTTTTCTTTCTATCTTTCTTTCTTTCTTTCTTTCTTTCTTCTACCCTCTTCCCATTTCTTTCCCTAGTTACCGTCTTTCTTTCTTCTACCCTCTTCCCATTCCTTTCCCTATTTACCGTCTTTCTTTCTTTCTTTCTTTTTTCTTTCTTTCTTTCTTTCTTTCTTTCTTTCTTTCTTTCTTTCTTTCTTCTACCCTCTTCCCATTCCTTTCCCTACTTACCGTCTTTCTTTCTTTTTTTTTTTTCTTTCTTTCTTTCCTTCTTTCTTTTCTTTTTCTTTCTTTCTTTTTTCTTTCTTTTTTCTTTCTTCTTCCCCTCTTCCCATTTCCTTTTTTTTTATACTTTCTGTTTTTTTCTTTCTTTCTTTTTTCTTTTTCTTTTTCCTTTTTTTCTTTTCTTTTTTCTTTTCTTTCTTTCTTTTTTTTTTTATTGGTTTTTCTTTTTCATATTTCTTTTTTTTTTTTCTCTTTCATTTTCTCTAACTTTTATTTTCCGTTTTGTTTTTGTTCAAATTTACCTTCATTGTTTCTTTTTTATTATTTTTTGTTCCTATTCCTTTCTTTATTCATTCCTTTCTTTCTTTTTTTTTTTTCTTTCTTTCTTTCTTTCTTTCCCCTTTCATTTCCCTACTTATCGTCTTTCTTTCTTTCTTTCTTTCTTTCTTTCTTTCTTTCTTTCTTTCTTTCTTTCAATTCTCCTCATTCCTTTTTACTTTCTTTTTTCTTTCTTTCATTTCTTTCATTCTTTTTTCTTTTCTTTCTTTCTTTCTTTCTTTCTTTTCTTCCCATTCCTTCCAATACTTACCTTTTTTAATTACTTTCCATTTCTTTCTTTCTTTCCTTCTTTACCTTTTAATTTTCTTTTTTCTTTCTTTTCTTTTCATTTTCATTTTCGTTTGTTTTTTTTTTTCTTTTTCTTTCTTTTTTTCTTTTTTTTTGTTTCTTTCTTTTCTTCTTTACCCTCTTCTCTCCCCTTTCATTTCCCTATTCCTTTCCCTAGGTACTTTCTTTCTTTCTTTTCCTTTTCCTTACCGTCTTTATTTCATTCATTTCTTTCTTTCTTTCTTTCTTTCTTTCTTTCTTTCTTTCTTTCTTTCTTTCTTCCACCCTCTTTCCATTTCTTTCCCTACTTACCTTTTTAATTCCTTTCTTTCTTTCTTTCATTCATTTCTTTCTTTCTTTCTTTCTTTCTTTCTTTCTTTCTTTCTTTCTTCTACCCTCTTCTCATTCCTTTCCCTAGTTACCGTCTTTCTTTCTTTCTTTCTTTCTTTCTTTCTTTCTTTCTTTCTTTCTTTTCTTTCTTTTTTTCTTCCCTACCCTCTTTATTTCATTCCCCTTTCATTCACCTTTTTTTTTCTTTTCTTTCTTTCTTTCTTTCTTTCTTTTTCTTTCTTTCCTTTCTTTCTTTCTTTCTTTCTTTCTTTCTTCTACCCTCTTTCCATTTCTTCCCCTACTTACCTTTTTAATTTCTTTCTTTCTTTCTTTCTTTCTTTCTTTCTTTCTTTCTTTCTCCTCTTTCCTTTCCCTTTCTTTCTTTTTCTTTCTTTCTTTCCAATCTTTCTTCTCCCCTCATTCCTTTCCCTACTTACAGTTTTTTCTTTCATTCATTTTCTTTCTTTCTTTTCTTTCTTTCTTTCTTTCTTTCTTCCCTTTCCCTTTCCATTTTCTTCCCCCTTCTTTCTTTCTTTTCTTTTTTCTTCTAATTTCTTCCCCTTTACCTTTCTTTTTTCTTTCTTTCTTTCTTTCTTTTTTTTCTTTCTTTCTTTCTTCTTCACCCTCTTCCCATTCCTTTCCCTAGTTACCGTCTTTCTTTCTTTCTTTCTTTCTTTCTTTCTTTCTTTCTTTCTTTCTTTCTTCTACCCTCTTTCCATTTCTTTCCCTACTTACCTTTCTTTCTTTCTTTCTTTCTTTCTTTCTTTCTTTCTTTCTTTCTTTCGTTAGTTAATTGTTTCTTCTACTCTCTTCTCATTCTTTTCCCTACTTAACTTTTTAATTTCTTTCCTTCTTTTTCTCAATGAAACCAAGAAGCGTCTCTGATATGTCAATTCCGCGGATTCACGCGGTCAAAACCGAATAATAATAGACATTATTTGTGAGGTATTATAATAAAAGGAAAGAACAGTAAGATATATAATCCAGTGTTCTTATTGACATTTTTACAAAACAGTGCTCAATGTAAATTTGCAGAGCATAAATATTATAAATTAACTGATTTCGAATATGCTGTCTTCCTTTACATATTGTTTCATATATATATATATATATATATATATATATATATATATATATATATATAATATTATAAATTAACTGATTTAAAATATGGTTCGCTACACAAAACCGAAGAAACCATATTTTAGATCAGTTTATATATATATATATATATATATATATATATATATATATATATATGATCCTGATGGTTATATTATATTATGTCGTGAAAAGAAGGTTAGACTTCACAGAAGCGTAAGCAATGAAATGCGTAAAAGATTGGATTATTGAATCGTGCACTCGACAGCGGTGTCAGAATTGTATGCATTGCTGTTATTCTAGTGCGTCACGTGATCGTCTTAAGTGTGTCCCGACATATTGACACGGTATTTTGATTTGTTTTCTTCAATTTTCACTCACTACATTAAAGAAATGATCCAAGTTATGGCTACCCATCTGAAAGCGCCCGATGAAATCATCGACTGTTATTTTCCGTCATTGGGCACAGAAAAAACGATGATTGGATTCGAAACCCCTTTCATAAATGTTCCTTCTCATGTTAGACTTCAGTTATGTAAAGAAGATGAATTGGCCACTATTTCTAGTGATCGAGTGCTCCAAATAACACATTCGACAATACTCATTGATACATTTTGGATTTCAATACAAAAGGAATATCCCACATTAGCTAAAAAGGGTCTAACAGTTTTATTGTAATTTTCTACTTCTTATTTATGTGAATTAAGCTTCTCAACTCTAAATAACATCAAAAATAAGAATTCATTTGCTTCTAGGTTGACTAAGGAATGTAAAGAACTTATGTAAAGAAGATGAATTGGTCCCTATTTCTAGTGATCGACGTCTTAACAGAAAACATTCGAGGGTACCCATTGATACATCAAAGTTTGACACTAAATAACATAAAAAATAAGAAGTTAGAAAGAATCGCTCAACTGAACAAGAAATGAGGGTCTTCTTATTGCATCAAACATTGGAGAAATCACAAAAAAATTAAAGCACAGGTTTCACAGTAAATAAACTGCCCACATATTTGAATAGAAACATTGAAATAAATTAAATACATATTTGTGTGTATTTTATTTTAATATAAAGTTTTATTTCATAACATTTAAATGTATACCATTTAAAAATTTTCGTGTGATATTTTCATTTGCTTCTAGGTTGCTTAAAATGGTTGAGAAACATTGATTTAAAGACTTACAAGAGCAGCAACAACTAAAATGAACAGCACATGTCGTCGGCGGCTTTAGCTTGTATCCAAGAATTTAATTTCTTCTTTTCTGATCGCTTCCTTTATGATGATGGCGTTGACAACTAATGTGTGTGTCGAAATGGTAATGGTACAACGTTAGTATTTAAATAAATGAATAAGTATTAAACATTTTATCCCACATTAGCTAAAAAGGCTTTATCAGTTTTATTGCAATTTTCTACTTCTTATTTATGGGAATTAGGTTTCTCGACCCTAAATAACATCAAAAGCAAGAAACGAGAAAGACTACACTTAACTGAAGGAGAAATGAGGGTCTGCTTATTGCATATTCGACCAAACATTGAAGAAATTGCCTAAAAACACCAGGTACAAGTTTACCCATTTGAAAGCTTTCGACAAAAACATCTACTCTTACTGATCACAGAAATGTATGATGGGATTCAAAATCCCATTATAAATGTTCCTTCTAATATTTGACTTCAATTATGTAAAGAAGAAGAATTGGCTGCCAATCATAGTGATCAAGGGCTCAAAATAAAACATCCGACGGTAGCCATTGATACATTTTGGATTTCAATACAAAGGGAATATCTCATAACAGCTAAAATGGCTTTATCAGTTTTATTGCAATTTTCTACTTCTTATTTATGGGAATTAGGTTTCTCGACCCTAAATAACATCAAAAACAAGAAACGAGAAAGATTACGCTCAACTGAAGAAGAAATGAGGGTCTGCTTATCGCACATTCGACCAAACATTGAAGAAATCACGAAAAAGCACCAGTCACAAATTTCACACTAAATAAGTTGCACCACTAAAAGATGTCACACTAAAGAAAACAACGTGTAAACTGCTTAACAGGTTTGTCTTGTAGGCCAAGAAGGAATAGTAAAAGGTCAAGTTACTTAGATTAACAACAGAGGAAGTTGTGGAGAACCATGTTCGCCCACGTCCTTAAAGAGCGGGTCATAAAAAAACACAAAGGATACATATTCTCAGAAGAAAGGATTTAATTAATTTAATCTGCCTTTACCTAAGAACATTCGACGGTGGTTTAAACAGTTTCAAGGGAGTGGGTGTCTCTGTAAAAGAAAAAGTCCAGGACGACGACGATTTTCGGAAGAACAAGTGGTGAGAATCCTTGCTGTTTTTGAGGGGGGTCCAAGTAAGTCCACAAATAGAGATAGTCATAGGCTTGTGATCTCTCAATCCACTATCTGACGTGTGATAAGAAGTTGTCGACATTTGAAACCTTACAGACTACGCCTCGTTCAGGCACTTACCAAGACCTTGCTTTTGTGCTTCGCCTGCGAGATCTCCAGACCTCACCGTGTGTGATTTTTTTTTCAAGTGTCGATACGTAAAAGATCGCATTTATGTTCCACCGCTACCCACTAGCTTTGACGACCCTAAACACCGAATAACAACAGTGATCAACTCAGTGGATCGTGATATACTGATACGCTTCTGAGAGGAATTCTCTTACGGCATTAATGTTGCCCGTGATGAAGGTGGTGGCCACATTGAACACTCGTAAAACAGGAAATAAAAATTGACTGTGAGTAGAATACTTGTGACTTGGATGGAGTTTTCTATTGCTTTTCCTTGTTAAAATATTGCGTAATGAAATCGGTTCATTCGTTTTGAATAACCCTGCATATTTAAGTTTTTTGTTTATAACAATTGAGAGGGGGCACCTCGTGGCGGTGTAATGGTTAGCAAGCTTGTCTCGCTAGAACAATTACGACTGAGTAGTGAGTTCGATCCTCACTGGGTGCACCCTACTTTCGGCCTTGTGACGCATCTAAGCTGCGCTTGGAAAATAACTTTAACAATTGAGCGGCAGTGTGCAAAATTTTGATATGAGACGCACAGAAGTCATGACCCCTTTGACCTCCGCATTCAAAAAGCTACCACGCTGTCAAACTACACATTAACCCTTTTCTTTCCCTCTCTCTGCGAAAGGAGTGATGGAAGTCATCCACGAAAACACATACACAACTGCAAAGAAAAATAGAATGAAAGAAAGAATGGGAGCGCGAAGGGGAGAATAGAAAGAGACAGAGAGAGGAGATAAATATATGTCAGATAAAACTTGGTCGAAGTTTACATTTCATTTTAACTTGAATTAAACTTCACATAAAGTCACTTTTCTTCGAGGTCTCTTTGATTGTAGAATCGGCTATCACGAGCGATGATGTTCTAATTTCTCAGCAAATTTAACTTTCAAGTACACCCAAGGTGTGTCACAAAAGCGTGCGTATAAACGCTACACGTTCGTGCGTGCGCGCGCATGCACAATGAGGATAACATATGGATATGTTTCTTGAGGTGTTTATAAATTGCACACTCTTCATTTATTAACGTTAACAACGAACTAGTCGAATTACAAAATTATACTTGAATTAAACGTAAATTACTTACCATATAATGCATATTACATATAATACATATCTTTTGCCGTCAATTTCGACGGCACGGGTACACTAGTAATAATAATAATAATTTAACCAGATAACCTTATCTTCAAAGCTTCCATTATTATTATTATTAGCTTTGATTTCTGATGCGTACTAATTCCTTTCCGGGTCCCGCCAAGGGACCTATGGTTAAAAATGGCACTATGACATTTTCTACTGGAAAAAAAAGAATTTACATAGATAGAGCCCTTCGTAAGGTGTGGGCTGTACACGTGAGAACAATTTTTTTGTATTTCTTTGAGGAATGTACTTCCAGGAATCACTTCAATTAATCTATTGGAATTAATACCAACCAATCCTAGGGCTCCAACTACAACAGGGATTGTTGATGCTCCCATGTGCCACATTTTTGAGATTTCGATTTCAAGGTGCTTGTATTTTGATAGATTTTATCATTATTATTATTATTAGTAGTAGTAGTAGTAGTAGTAGTAGTAGTATTTTAACCACATCCTGAAGTCTGTCCTCAAATCTTTCATTATTAATAACAATCTTAAGGGTCACATAGGGCAACAGATCAGTCCCCTTTGTAGAATAATATACGACGTTTGCTTTGAGTGATTTGAACCAGTAATGGAAAAGAAAGATAAAAAAAAGAGGAAAAACGACCAAATCGACGACAAATCCAGAAAGGAAAATTACGATCAGAACAAACATTATTGAAATATAATGCGCGCATCATCACGACCTAACATGCGCAAGTGAAATATTTGCGTCGTCGTTTATAACGATTTTTACGAGCGCGTCAATAACAGCAAACGCGTTCAGGAACTTTCACTACGGACAGAAGCTGCAAAGAGGAACAATCATTTTATTTATTTCATGAAGAATTTACAAAGAGGAACGATCAATTAGTTTTTTTTTTTTCATACCCTGCCCAGGCAAACGCTGCTGGTGGCGCCTGGGGTGGCGGTCCCGCCATAGCCACCGAAACCGTGAGATAACCCCTGGTCGGCGGCTGATGAAGACAGGCTATCGCACATGCTAACACACGTTGTATGTTAAAAAAAAAATTATTTTTCTTATTATTATTTTAAGCAAATAATGAAAAGTCTGTCCGAAAATCTCCCCTTATTATTATTATTATTATTGGCTCATTTAAACTTAGTTCCTTGCTTAGAGATTAAAACCTCTAGAATCTATCCTAATATATATATGTGTGTGTGTGTGTGTGTGTGTGTGTGTGAGTGTGTGTGTGACTCTTCACACCAGTCGTACATATCAAGATTATAGTCAATTGAACGAAAGTTGAGGATCACAACGACACCGCTTGAAATGGGTCGACGCTAATGGCTGACAAATCATAACATCCTTCCCCCCACCCGACAAAAACACACTCAGGCTTCTCTGATACACGTGCTCAGATGAACGCTCGTTAATTTTCGACATATGTACGCAGACGTTTCTTGTGTCCCAGGCTCGTCGGGCTAGACATTTTGGTTCAATTATATTTTAATATTACACTCTTTTTTTTTTTTGTTTCTTTTTTTCTTGCTGATGCCTGGTGTTATGCACATTTTGACAGCTCCAGTTACACGAAGCCGTCGAGGAAAAACGGGGGATTTTGATTACATTTTCTTTAAAGACCAAGGGAATTCGTTACGTGTACAACTAGAACTCTCAAAATTCGAATTAAATGGTATGTTGGTACGGCACCACAAAAATAACAGGTCGGGAAACAAAATCAGACTGGTAAGGGTTAAGTCAATTGTTAACTTTCAAGGTTTCCTGTATTTTCTGATCATTTCATAAAATCTGCGGGGTGATTAGAAATGGTTAATGTTATGGTCCGGTTCCTTGTACCACGGTGATAGTCCAAGGTAGAACCAATAAAGAAGAACTCGAACACGGGTATGGAATAACACATATATTACAAACAGGAATATATACAGAGAAGTAGAAAGTGTTAGTATGAACAATCAGGTTTAGTAGAGAGAACAATATAGTCTCGACCAGAATCACTATTCCAATGTCTTGTCGTAATTGTCTGAACGCGACTCTGTTTCGGACTGCCTCTGACTCGACTCTTGACTCGACTTGAACTACTGACTGACTGACTTGAACGACTGACGATATTCAGTCACCCCCTCCACGAGGGGATCATGTGGCACAAGGCCGGTTTGACGTGGGATCTCCGAGTTCGTGGTCTCGGCCTAAAAATATGCCCATTGAACCTGTATAAACGGGTTCAGGGTCGGTTTACCTCCCCGAACGAGACTCCACCCTTCGGCGTAGGCCCGATCGGTTTCCTCCCCGCCCGAAAGCAGTGAGTTCAACCGACCAGCCGTTCAAGACTTGAACTACTGACTACTAATTCAGTCACCCCACTACGAGGGTGTTATGTGGTACAAGGCCTTTTTAACGTGGGCATTCCGAGCCCGTGGGCTCGGCCAAAAATATGCCCATTGAACCCGTATAAACGGGTTCAGGGCCGGTTTTACCTCCCCGAAAAAGACTCCGCCCTTTGGCGTAGCCTCCTTCGGGTTCCTCCCGCCCGTAGGAAGAGAGTTTAACCGAACAGTCGGTTCAGACTTGAACGACTGACAATATTCAGTCACCCCCACGAGGGTGTCATGTGGCACAAAGGCCTTTTTAACGTGGGAATTCCCGCCGGCCGGCCAAAAATAGCCCATTTGAACCCGTATAAACGGGTTCTGGGCTGAAAGTTTATTTCCCCGAAGGAGACTCCGCCCTTCGGCGTAGCCTCCTCCGGGTTCCTCCCCGCCCGTAGGAAGAGAGTTTAACCGAACAGTCGGTTCAGACTTGAACGACTACAATATTCGTCACCCCCCCACGGTTCATGTAACACAAGGCCTTTTTAACCATTCCCGAGCCATTAGGCTACGAACCCGTATAAACGGGTTCAGGGGTCGAGTTTTACCACCCCGAAGGAGACTTCGGCGTCCTCCTTCGGGTTCCCGTGGAAGAGAGTTGAACCGAACAGTCAGTTCAGAGGTGAACGACTGACAATATTCAGTCACCCCCCACGAGGGTGTCATGTGGCACAAGGCCTTTTTAACGTGGGCATTCCCGAGCCATTAGGCCCGGCCAAAAAAATAGCCCATTTGAACCCGTATAAACGGATTCAGGGCCGGTTTAACCTCCCGAAGGAGACTCCGCCCTTCGGCGTAGCCTCCTTCGGGTTCCTCTCACCCGTAGGAAGAGAGTTGAACCGAACAGTCAGTTCAGAGGTGAACGACTGACAATATTCAGTCAACCCCCACGAGGGTGTCATGTGGCACAAGGCCTTTTTAACGTGGGCATTCCCGAGCCATTAGGCCCGGCCAAAAATAGCCCATTTGAACCCGTATAAACGGATTCAGGGCCGGTTTTACCTCCCCGAAGGAGACTCCGCCCTTCGGCGTAGCCTCCTTCGGGTTCCTCTCGCCCGTAGGAAGAGAGTTGAACCGAACAGTCAGTTCAGAGGTAAACGACTGACGATATTGAGTCACCCCCCACGAGGGTGTCATGTGGCACAAGGCCTTTTTGCGTGGGCATTCCCGAGCCATTAGGCTCGGCCAAAAAATAGCCCATTTGAACTCGTATAAACGGGTTCAGGGCCGAGCGACCTCCCCGAAGGAGACTCCGCCCTTCGGCGTAGCCTCCTTCGGGTTCCTCGCCCGTAGGAAGAGAGTTGAACCGAACAGTCAGTTCAGAGGTGAACGACTGACAATATTCAGTCACCCCCACGAGGGGTGTCCATGTGGCACAAGGCCTTTTTAACGTGGGCATTCCCGGAGCCATTAGGCTCGGCCAAAAAAAATAGCCCATTTGAACCCGTATAAACGGGTTCTGGGCCGAGTTTTTTCCCCGAAGGAGACTCCGCCCTTCGGCGTAGCCTCCTTCGGGTTCCTCCTCCCCCTGTAGGAAGAGAGTTGAACCGAACAGTCAGTTCAGAGGTGAACGACTGACAATATTCAGTCACCCCCACGAGGGTGTCATGGGCACAAGGCCTTTTTTAACGGGCATTCCCGAGCCATTAGGCTCGGCCAAAAATAGCCCATTTGAACCCGTATAAACGGGTTCTGGGCCGAGTTTACCTCCCGAAGGAGACTCCGCCCTTCGGCGTAGCCTCCTTCTCGTTCCTCTCTCGCCCGTAGGAAGAGAGTTGAACCGAACAGTCAGTTCAGAGGTGAACGACTGACGATATTCAGTCACCCCCACGAGGGTGTCATGTGGCACAAGGCCTTTTAACGGGCATTCCTGAGCCATTAGTCTCGGCCAAAAATAGCCCATTTGAACCCGTATAAACGGGTTCTGGGCCGGAGCGACCTCCCGAAGGAGACTCCGCCTTCGGTGTAGCCTCCTTCGGGTTCCTCTCGCCCGTAGGAAGAGAGTTGAACCGAACAGTCAGTTCAGAGGTGAACGACTGACAATATTCAGTCACCCCCACGAGGGTGTCATGTGGCACAAGGCCTTTTAACGTGGGAATTCCCGAGCCATTAGGCTCGGCCAAAAAAATAGCCCATTTTGAACCCGTATAAACGGGTCCTGGGCTGAGTTTACCCCTGAAGGAGGCTCCGCCCTTCGGCGTAGCCTCCTTCGGGTTCCTCTCGCCCGTAGGAAGAGAGTTGAACCGAACAGTCAGTTCAGAGGTGAACGGACTGACAATATTCAGTCACCCCCCACGAGGGTGTCATGTGGCACAAGGCCTTTTTAACGTGGGCATTCCCAAGCCATTAGGCTCGGCCAAAAAATAGCCCATTTGAACCCGTATGAACGGGTCCAGGGCCGAGTTTTACCTCCCTGAAGGAGACTCCGCCCTTCGGCGTAGCCTCCTTCGGGTTCCTCTCGCCCGTAGGAAGAGAGTTGAACCGAACAGTCAGTTCAGAGGTGAACGGACTGACTGCTTGCCTTCTCCTGAGGCGCAGTATTTGTTAAGTATGGAATAGTCCATTATTATTATGGGTAAGATTCCATAACAGTTATCTATATTATAAATGAATGAAAGAGTGCCCAATAAACAAAATTGACAAAGTTTGCAATGAGCAAAACAAGAAAAGGAACAGCTCCAGAAATAATATAAAACGAGCAAATATGTGCATGACAAATTAACACCCTTAAGGCAAAGCAAGAGTAATATAGCAAAAAGTTCACAAACTAAGAATTGGGGTTGATACACAAGATCAAATTTGAATAAGTGAATATAGAGTTCTAACTTCAAGACAAAACAGATCGGAACTGAGTCATATAAAACCAAAAGGTCGCTTATGTTACTGGTTCGGAATAAATCCCAGAGTTCATATGTGTGCTTCTGCCTATAAATTGGAGATGGACAAAAACAGTTGATAAATTCCCCTATCGTCTGTTTCACACCTCACTAACACTGGAACTGGGATCTATCCGGCCTTCTTCAAAACCTGCCTATATTTCTGAGATGAGGTATTGTAAATATTTACACTATTTACATCGTTCCGATTGTTGTCCTCATCTTTATTGCCATATCCACGACATTTCGGCCGTTGTACGCAGTGTCCTTCGTCAGGATATATCTTCTATTTCCTAGATGAGGTATTGTAACTATTTAGACTGTTTACATCGTTCGATCTCTTGTCGTCATCTTCATTGTCATATTCACGACGTTTCGGCCGGTGCACGCTCCGACCTTCTTCAGCCGATATACATTGGAATTTGAACCGAACTCTTTATTTACTCAACGGGGTTGATTGTTCTAATTCCACGTTTTTAGATATCGCAGTTGATTTTAATTCCCTTTTAGTAACTTAAAACTCCAAGATTTGTTTCTATTTGATGTGACCAGGTACTGTACTCAACACACTTTGGGTATCTTTTGGAATTACTCAAATAACGCTTTTATTCAGTGGATATCGCCCCAAAATATGACACGTGTAATTAGAACAATCTACCTCAGTGGATTGAATGAAGGGTTTGGATTGAAATTCCAGCGTATATTATCTGAAGAGGGCTGGTGTGTAAAACGACTGAAACGTCGTGTGTATGGCAATATAAAGATGCGAACAACAGTCCAAAAAATGTTAATAATGTAAATAGTTAAAAAATCTCATCTCAGAAATAAAGACAAATGTTGAACGTGAATATGGCAATAAAGATGAGGACAAAAGTCCGTATAATGTAAATAATTACAATGCTTCATCTCAAAAATAGAGACATATCCTGAAGGTAAATATGACAATAAAAAAGAGGACAACAGTCCGAACAATGTAAATAGTCTAAATAGTTAATATACCTCATCTCAGAAATAGAAACAGATGTAGAAGTTGAATATAGCAATAAAGACGAAGAAGACATTCAGAACATTGTAAATAGTTACAATACCTCATCGTAGAAATAGAGACAGATACTGAAGAAAGCCGGATCGTACAACACCTGAAACGTCATGAATATGCCAATAAAGAAGAGAAGAAGATTATATGGTGTAAACAGTTACAATACCTCATCACAGGAATAAAGATCCAGTGTTATTGACATGGTCAAGAGGGTTAGTCATTTAAATCGGATGTCTACACGCATGTCTTGAAATCAACATTCGAAATCCAAAATTTGGACAATGCTCAAACAGTGAACATTAACAACAAAAATAAAACATAAAAAGAAAAAAAAATGGAAAAAATTATGAAAAAAACACAGAAACCGGGTAAAAAAGTCACCAAGTATTGGCGCTTGTTTATTTGCACTTATGCCATTGGGGAATGCATAAATATTTTAGGCATGACGTAGGAGACAGCTCCCTTGTGTCATATAAAATAAAGCAAGTACATGCGCACGCACACACACACACATTTTATATATATACTCCTGTGTGTGCACGCGTTTACACACACGCACACACACACACACACACACACACACATATATATATATATATATATAAGCAGGTGCTCGCACACACAGGAGTATACAGTGTGTGTGTGTGCGTGTTCTATATATATATATATATGTATATATATATATAAAACAGAAATATACACACACATACATATATACACACACACACACACATATATATATATATATATATATATATATATATATATATATATATATATATTTATGATTGTGTATTTGGCATCCATTCGTCCACTAGCTCAGACACTAATCTTATTTTCAAAATCTGATACAGCTCTAACTGTAGAAGTCATAACATAATTTTCTTGTTAGAATGCACACTATGCCAGAAAATATGGGAAAATCTGAATGACCCTATTTACTACAAAATACAATAATTATCGGAATCGGACCACGAAAGATTATTACCTGAAGAACAACATTTCCGACTCGAAAAAAACATGATTTTAATAGCCACGCTAAAGTCACTATTCTTGAAATAAAAAGAGACACAAAAGATTAACTTTGGAAAATGCTAAAAGAACATGAAGACAAATGCACTTTGCGCCTCAAAACACTTTGTCCAGACGGACTTAACAATAGACTAAACAGCATAGATAGAATATAATACCATAGAAAAACCCATCTGTATTTCTCAACAACACTAAACAGACAGACGTCCAGATGTGTTGCGGTTTCTTTCTATCTCTGTCCATTCATATCTATCTATCTATCTATCTATCTATCTATCTATCTATCTCAGTCTGTTCATATCTATCTCAGTCTGTTCATATCTATCTATCTATCTATCTATCTATCTCAGTCTGTTCATATCTATCTATCTATCTATCTATCTATCTATCTATCTATCTACATGTTGATATCAATCCTTCTATCTATGTCTTATTCTTGATTTATCCGTTTATATTATTAAATTCATGGTATATATATATATATGTATATAGCAGACTACCCGTGGCATCATAAATCGAGGAAGAACGAGATCATTTCCTAAGCCCCGCCAATAAGAACATCTTTCACAGGTTTTCAGGAGACGATCCAGGTATCAGCAAACATCAAGTGGCCCTAGTATGTCGTACATCTCATCTCTATCCGTATTATTTGCAACGCGTGCAGCGTCTTTCGCCCTCTGATCACTCACCACGGGAGAACGTTTGCCGATGGTTAATTGGACAAACTGCCGATCTGTTGTTTGTCTCTTCTGTCTTGTTTACGGAATGGGGCAACATCTGGAAGAGATGGAATAATAAATTTACACAACCAACATTTGACACTGGTATTAGTTTTCAAATAATAGGTGGGCTGGAATTGTAGGTAAGTGTCTAGTAGGTCTATATGTTCTCCCAGCACGTTTTACTGTAACTGTCTACATAGACTTTATATCGAACAAACTTCCATACCTGTTAGAGGATGTATTCCTGCTAATATGAAGACGCTTGTGATTCATGCATGATGGGGATCCAGCACATTTTAGTCACATTTTTCGCGATGCACATATGCATCTTTCATGATCTATCATGACAGATGTATATGCAGTGAAAGACCAGTTCCATAGCCTGCACGTTCCACCGACTTTCGGATTTTTAACTGTGGGGCCAAATAAACAATGGGTTTATGCAGCAGGCATTAATAATGCAGAGACGTGTTATGGGAGCCTGTGTAATCATTCGACACCGTGTGGGATTACTTGAAACAGTCAATGATCCGACGGGTGCCTGCGTGTGTAGAAGCAGGCGGAGGACATTTTGAACATTTGTTATGAATTGGTGTGTTATGGTACAACGACAGAATTTTGGTATGTGTGTCTGTGTATGTGTGAGTGCGCATGTGTGTTTTTGTGTGTTGTTTGTTTATTTGCGTACTAAACATGGCCCAGCCCTTTCGTCTACAGTATTCAAATTTAGTATGCATGATTATTGGACTCATGGGAATGTTTTATCGTTATTAATTTATTTATATATTTACAAGTTTTTATTTATCATGGGAAAAGAATTATTCTGCTACCTATATAATACACGGAAATATTTTTATTTTATTTTATATTAGATTGAGTTATAAATAATACATTTAACAAATTTGTTCTTTAAAATAACACAAATGCTCCTATGAAATCCAAACTCTAACTTCCTTGCTGCTTCTTGCTTTCCTACTTGTTAGAAATCCTCTTCTGTAGTTCGAGTCATTAAGAACACACGCGAACCATCTGATAAATATCTTGCTGCTTCTTGCTTTCCTGCTTGTTGGAAATGCTCTTCTGTAGTTCCAGTCATTAAGAACTCAGGCGAAACATCAGATAAATGCCTTGGGGATTCTTTCTTTCCTACTTGTTGGAAATCCTCTTCTGTAGTCCGAGTCTTTAAGAACGCAGGCGAACCATCTGATAAATGTCTTGCTGCTTCTTGCTGTCCTGCTTCTTGGAAATCCTCTTCTGTAGTTCCAGTCGTTAAGGATTCAGGTGAACCATCTGATTAATCCCTTGCTGCTTCTTGCTGTCCTGCTTCTTGGAAATCCTCTTCTGTAGTTCCAGTCTTTAAGAACTTAGGTGAACCATCTGATAAATGTTTTGCTGCTTCTTGCTTTCATGATTGTTGGAAATCCTCATCTGTAGTTCTAGTCTTTAAGAACTCAGACGAACCATCTGATAAATGCCTTGCTGCTTCTTGCGTTCCTGCTTCTTGGAAATCCTCTTCTGTAGTCCCAGTCTTTATGAACATAAGTAAACCATCAGATAAATGTCTTGCTGCTTCTTGCTTTCCTGCTTGTTGGTTATCCTCTTCTGTAGTTCCAGTCTTTAAGAACTTAGGTGAACCATCTGATAAATGTCTTGCTGCTTCTTGCTTTCCTGCTTGTTGGAAATCCTCTTCTGTAGTTCCAGTCTTTAAGAACGCACGTGAACCATCTGATAAATGTCTTGCTGCTTCTTGCTTTCCTGCTTGTTGGTAATCCTCTTCTGTAGTTCCAGTCTTTAAGAACTTAGGTGAACCATCTGATAAATGTCTTGCTGCTTCTTGCTTTCCTGCTTGTTGGAAATCCTCTTCTGTCGTTCCAGTCTTTAAGAACGCACGTGAACCATCTGGTAAATGTCTTGCTGCTTCTTGCTTTCCTGCTTGTTGGAAATCCTCTTCTGTCGTTCCAGTCTTTAAGAACGCACGTGAACCATCTGGTAAATGTCTTGCTGCTTCTTGCTTTCCTGCTTGTTGGAAATCCTCTTCTGTAGTTCCAGTCATTAAGAACTCTGGTGAACCATCTGGTAAATGTCTTGCTGCTTCTTGCTTTCCTGCTTGTTGGAAATCCTCTTCTGTAGTTCCAGTCTTTTAGAACGCACGTGAACCATCTGATAAATGTCTTGCTGCTTCTTGCTTTCCTGCTTGTTGGAAATCCTCTTCTGTAGTTCCAGTCATTAAGAACTCTGTTGAACCATCTTATAAATGTCTTGCTGCTTCTTGCTTTCCTGCTTGTTGAAAATCCTCTTCTGTTGTTCCTATCTTTAAGAACTCAGGCAAAACCATCTGTTAAGTATCTTTCTGCTTCTTGCTTTCCTGCTTGTAAACAATCCTCTCCAGTCGTTACCTTTCTTAAGAACTCAGATGCATCATTTGATAAATGTCTTGCTGCTTTTTTCTTTGTTGCTTTTTGGAAATCCTCTTCTGTATTTCGTCCTGATCCATCTTTCTATTAGTTTTCTTTTTTTTTTTTTTTTTTTTTGCAGAGTTCTGGATCTGATTAAGAACTACATCCGACAGCAATATTTCTGATTGAGATGTTTTGAGGAGAGTGGGACCACCTCTTAACTGCTGTTGTTATCAGGTCCATGCTCAGTCGGGGTTGTAGTACCCGTTAGGGTCCCATTTATGGGCAAATAGTGAACCCTAAACAAAAATACTATAAATATATAAATATACCAGCAATACATATGCATATGAGAAGTAATTGCCAACAATACATTTCTAAAGCAACTGTAGTTGAATGCATACCATTGCCATCAAAATCTATTTAGTTAAAGCCGTATGATTTTGTTCAAAATATGTATAGAATAAATGAAAATAAATAGAATAGAAATAAATAAGCAAAAACAAGTAAAATAATTTAACTCAAATAAAGTAAATAATAAACAAATTAACAAACAACTCCCGCTAAAATAACCGTTAGAAAGACTTCCTACAATGCAATAGACTACCCGCAAAGCAACATTGACCCGTATATATAAATATCGAGAAAAACAGAAAGCGTATCCTGACGATTGCGTTTAGCATGAAACAGTCTGTTGCCTCTGAGTGTCGACTTCAATGCTCACTTTTACACACACACACCCATATATATATATATATATATATATATATATATATATATATATATATATATATATATACCTCCATTCAATTTTGATACCTTGGATCAAAATGAAATTTTAAAAAAAGAAAATCATTTTTCAAGCTTTCTTTTTAGAAAAAAATACTCTGGTGTATTTCAAATAGAAATTATTTTGATTAGATTCTCATTTTTTTTTCTCGCTTTCAGAAATCATTTAAATTCAACCATTTTTTAAATATTTATATATTAAAAAAATATTCTCGTTTTTAAAAATCTTCCAAAATAAAATATATTTTTCTGGAACTTTATTTGAAAAATATTACCTTAATTAAATTTTAATTAAAATTATTTGAAAAAGATATTTACTTAAAAATTGAAAATAAGAGAGAAATGGATTTTTGAAACAAACAGTAGCGCGATTAAGTGCTTGTCAACACCTCGTAAATCACTTGACGAGGTGCTGACACTTTTATTATTGTTCTAAGAAGACCTTATCCGTTAAAATATAATTTAAGAAAATGACCGTTAGTCGCTTTTTATATAATTTTTAAGTACCAACTAATCTTAAAAAATGTTGGTAAATGTTCTCTGTATTCTAATTTAGGAACGATGAAGTTAAATTTATTATAGTCATCGCTCTTATTTTCTGATTATGTCGTGTATGGTCGACCATACTTCCACACAGGGGCACGTTATGTATATAACATTACGTATATATAAATACTTTTTTTTTCAATATTGGGGGTAAACGAATTTTAATGAGTTTTTTATTTTTTGATTCGTAAATATAGTTTTTACTTAATAACAATATCATCTAAACGCCTTGTAGTAATGAAGAATTTTAAACGATTTTTATATTATTATAAATTATTTAATTAAAATTTTTTTAAAAAATACAAAAACAGTTCTTATAAAAATTAATTATTCATCGAAAATAAATTCTTCTTAAGACAATAGTGTCTTTATTGTATTTTATTTATAAAATCAATTAAGAGCTTTTTTAATTAAATAATGCAATAGTTTTATTGAACTTGTTTATTTTACGTTTCAGAGTAGATTTTCGATTACTAGGTAAACTGTTTTAAAAAAAATAAAAAATAAAAAATAATAATAATTTACGTTCTCCAAGAAGTTCAGTTCTTAATTAATAAAACTAATTGTTGCCGTAAAAGATGAATTTCTCGAAATTTCATGAAATTAAATAAATGGAGGTAACATACGTAAAAAAAAATATATTTTTTACCAACATTTTCTAAAAAAAAGTTCAAAAATAATTTCATTTATTTGTGAATATGTCATGAAAGTTATATTAAATTTGAATTTTTGCAAGAATTTACAAATCAATGTCTTTTACGGCGTAAAGAAAAAAAAAGCTCAAAAACATTAATTGTAATGATTATGTCGTCCGCTGACGTAAACAAAACAAGATTTTTAACCAATATTTCGAACGGGCTAGAAATGATTTCAAAAAATAATCAAAAAATACTTTGGTCTTAACTTTTAATAAAAGCAAAGATTTTGACGATAAATTTTTGTTTTTTTTATTAAGTTTTTGCATCATGCTATGCTGTTTTTTTTTTT